ATATATGTATATTTAATTTTATACAGAAATTTATAAAACGCCTTTATATATTGATATTGCACGGTATTCTTTCGGCCTATGTATAATAAATTTGCTAGGCCTATCTTGTTAATTTAATCACATGTGAAGACCAGTGTACCCCTTAAAGCTTGTTCTTTATGCAATGTAAACTTTTGTTTTATTATTGTATTCCCTTTATTAATTACGTAAAACCCATTAAGGCAGATACCGTAATGCGCTGAATAACTAGAACATTAGGCAAATTATCATCATCATCATCATCATCATCATCACCATTCATCATCATCATTACCACCACCACCACCATCATTATCTATTATTATTATTTATTATTACTACTAATAAGCCTATCATTAATTGTTAGTGTTATTAATAATTATGTTACTGTTAGGCCTATTGTTAAAGTACTACAATTTTAGACTGTCATGCCATGGGTATTAAGATAGGGCCTATTAATATATTTCCTCCGTGGTCATGCACCTACAGCATTAGATGTAGGATTTATTAAGGTATGAATACTATCGGGAGTATCAGATAAACATATGTACGGTGTGTATGATGTTAGGCCTAGGCCTATATAGTTTTGAGAGTAGTCTGCAAATATGATTATTTAAAAAAACATTCTGAGGTTTTCAGGCGATCGCGTATTTGTCTCTTAACCTTGGACTTTAATAGATATGTAAATAGATGTCCAAGCTCACAAATTTGCCGCATTGCAGGATGAGTAATACAGCCTTATAATCCAAGGATTGAACAAATTAAGCCTACAAAATGTCGATGGCCTATATAAAAAGTATAGGCACAGAACGAGAACAGCATCTCTATTACAAATCAAATGTTCATGCGAACTCAGTGAACATTATGAAATCAGAGGGTACCACATACAATCCCAAGAGTCTAGTACGGATCCGGGATCACAGAGGGCCGGGCGCTCCAATTAAAATTCAATAACATTTATTTCCATTTCCAACACTCCCAAGAGCCAATTGCGGCTCCAGCACTCTGGCTTTTAAGAGGATCGGTTTAACATCAATTTTCTATACATCCGTTTAGTTAATTAATTGAAGATTTTTTTTTTCGTGGTCTGTATTGATATTATAGTGGCTTCTCCTGCTGAAGTACAAACCTTTTTTGAAGGAGGGGGACACTTGTACACTCCTGAAAATTCATAGTGCAGAAACGTTTCTTTTTCTAAAACTTGTTGCGTTGTAAAAGCTGAGAACATTAGTACAGACCATAATAACCATCACATTTAAATAAGTTATTCTGTAGATAGGTCTATGTAAGAAAAACATATTGTATAATAAACTGTAAATTAAAGCGATGACCTATGCATTATTTCGTTAAGCGATTATGAGATAAAAATGGGATTGAAAAATGCTTACATTTTACATGATATATAAACAATATATATATATATATATATATATATATTATTATTATTATTATTATTATTATTATTATATATTTATTATTATTATTAGTAGTAGTAGTAGTAGTAGTATTATATATAGGCATATATATAGGCCTATATATATATATGCTACTACTACTACTACTACTACTAATAATAATAATAATAATAATAATAATAATAATAATAATAATAATAATCTGGTTTGCTTATTATATCACCGAAAGCTCACAGTTTTACATTCATTGTTCTTGGCTTATCGATAAAACAGTTTACAGTAATACAAAAAAAAAACCTTAACAAATATCCTAATTTTAAACCGTTTTAAAATAATCTATACCGTAAGAACGAATTAGATTTTTAAATAGTTTTAAAATATAACGCAAAAATAAGTATATATCAAATTACTTGTCACTTTTAATAAAAATTTCACATCAAATGTATTCATTAATATTTAAAGTTTATAGTAATTAAAGTACAGAGTTACTTTTCACTGCCAAAGCCGTAGGAAGTGATAAGGCCTGTCAGGTCAAAATCTGATCAACCTAAACTACTCCCCGATTGTCAGTTCAATTTTCCTTTCAGTGATCTGATGTAAAGCCTTTTTCTCCTAAATTAAATATCCTGACTTCACGCACATATCACAGTGGCGTAACTGAGTATGGTGGGCGCTTCGAGATTGCAAGTAATTAGCAATTATTACCCTTTTACTGCATGAATTCTTACTAAAACCGTTGACCTTTTCTGGACAGATGACAAAGCACTAAATAATATAAAAGAAGCAGTAATCAAAACTCCGGTGTTAAAGTATTACGATCCTGCTATAGAACTCATTTGTCAATTGTGAGCATGCGTCGTGTTAGGTAGGAACGTTTGATTTGAGCTCCACATTTTCTTTCAAATTATTCCTTACATTACAAAATCAACGCTAAACACATTATAGTACTCACATTAAATGTACTATGAGGAAAACAAGAAGCAAGGTTGGTCAGGAAAATATGGAAAAATCTACGGGAAAAGGGAAAACAAGTGCAGTTAATTCTAGCCAGGCTGAGACAGGTGGTTCAGTTGGTGTTGAGAATTGCGACGGCGGGAGAGCTGACCAAACGCTAATTGCTATTCATAAGCAGCTTGAGAACATAACTGTGCAGCTACAGAAATTGGACACAATTGAAACTAAACTCAACTGCTTTGAAAAAAGAATGGATACCATAGAGAAAACTGTAAGTAAAACTAAAATGCGGTGTTCGTTATTAGAAGACGGTGTCCAAGAAAAATCTGTCGAAGAAAACAAGCACGAAATAGAATCTGTAAAAATGGATATGGTCGAATCAGAGGAAGTGTGTATGCTAAAGGCGAAAATAGATGACATGGAAAACAGAATGAGAAGAAACAATATAATTATTCATGGAATTCCTGAGGATGTTGAAGGAAAAAAAAAATATTGAGGATTTCGGTATGGAATTTTTTCGCAGCCACTTGAAAATACCAGCTCCTATTGCCTTAGACATAGAGCGAGCGCATCGAACAGGCTAGCGTATTGAGGGAAAATGTCGCCCAATCCACGTCAAGCTCATCAAGTCTTCACAAAAGAACGTCATTTTATCTGGAAAAACAGCAACTGCGCTGAGAAATAACCTCTTTCATGGCAACAAGATCTTTATAACCGATGATGTCTCCCATAAAATTCGAATGGAAAGAAAGAACCTGCAGAAAAAAGTAAAAGAATTACGCGAACAGGGGTATTACGCAATTGTCCTATGGTCAATTCCAACAATAATAAAATACATAAAGGGAGAGGATAAAGTTTTCTCAATCATCAGACCTTCTTAGACAAATTTAGCTGCATTTAAGACAGGAAAACTTACTTCTTATTCTTTATCTTTAAATTGTCATAAAGAACAAATTTTGTATATTTGAGTGTATTTGATTTTAGTCTTCTTTTGAATGAAATAGAACAACATTCTTTTTTTATAACGTAATTTTAGAAAGTCCTAAAAAAATTACCAATATATCTTCTTTATTTAGCATTTTTAGTATGAATTCTCGTAGCCTTGTTAATCATTTTAATGACATAACTGATTTTCTTAGTACCTTAAATCATACTTTTTCAGCAATGTGCTTCACTGAAACATTCTTTAAACATAGCAAAACAAATGTTTCTTTTTATGATATTCCAGGTTATTTCTATTACATTCGTCAAGATCAGACAGACCGGGAGGTGGAGTTGCCATATACCTAGATCAGAGGCTTCAATATACTCTTCGTAATGACCTGTCTTCTATTTTTGAAACTGACGAATCTATCTTCACTGAAGTTAAATCCGAGCCAAAGAATTTTAATTTAAGTGTAGTATATCGTTTACCTGAGTCTTCATTAGTTACCTTTAACTCAAACACCTCTCTTCTTTTAAACACTACTGACAATGAAAACAAAGTGGCCTATATTGCAGGCGATTTTAACATCGACCTTCTTAAGTGTAAAACACACAAACAAACATCTGAATTTTTAAGTATTATGTATAAATTTAATTTCTACCCGCTTACACATAGACCTACACGGGTTACAAAAACCGCAACAATTATTGATAATATTTTTTCTAACAATATCTGTGATAAACTAACCTCTGGAATATTTTACTCAGATATATCTGATCATTTCCCAGTTTACTCTATCACTCATTCTAAATTTCCACCTTCTTTGGCTTTCAAAAATAATACTAAATATGTTTATTTTAAACAAATTAATGATAAGAATATTCTGTCCCTTACTAACAATTTACTAAATATTGATTGGTCCAATGTTTACAATAAAAATAATCCCAATGATGCTTACAATGTGTTCTTAAAAAAGTTTTCTAAAGTACATGACATTCATATCAAAACAACCCGACGTAAAAGAAATATTCGTAGAGAGAACAAGCCATGGAAAACAACTGGTATCATTACGTCAATTGATAAAAGAAATAAACTTTATAAGAAATACCTTAAATCAAAAAAAGAATCGGATAAATACAAGTATATAATATATAGAAATAAGTTGACGTATTTATTAAAAATTTCAAGGAAAAAACATTATAATGATAAATTTAATTTCTATAAAAACAATATTCAAAAGACTTGGCAAACAATTAACTCTGTCTTAGGACGCAACACAAAAAAACATTTTCCATCTTTTTTTTCAGCACGAAGGATCAAAAATTACTGAGCCTCACCTTATAGCAAATAAATTTAATGACTATTTTATAAACATTGGATCAAATCTCACAAAGGAAATTAACAAACCTACTAACCATCACTTTACGTCATATCTTAATCCACCTCTTAAAGACTCATTTGTTTTCTCACACCTCCATCTGAAGAGGAAATCACAAATATTATTAAAGTACTAAAAGACAGTAAGAGCCCTGGTTGTGATGAAATATCTAACAAAGTAGTTAAATCCACTTCCAATTTAATTACGAAGCCCTTATGTTATATTTTCAACTAATGTTTTGCCAAAGGAATTTTTCCTGATAAATTGAAGGTTGCCAAGGTAGTTCCTATTTTTAAAAAAGATGATGCTCATTTATTTACTAATTATAGACCAATCTCCTTGTTACCATGTTTTTCAAAAATTCTGGAGCGCTTAATTTACAATAGATTATACACCTTCTTAATTAAACACAATATTCTTTATAATCGCTAATATGGTTTTAGAAAATCATACTCAGCAGATCTTGCTCTTATTGATATTTATGACCAAATTACTAAAGCAATTAATAATAATGATTTTACAGTCGGTATTTTTCTTGATTTAAGCAAGGCTTTTGATACCATTGACCATGAAATTCTATTGAGTAAACTTGAACGATGTGGTGTCAGAGGCCTTGCTCTCAATCTATTTAGAACTACATTTAATTCTTTTAATTCTTATTTATCTAATATTACATGTGGTGTTCCACAAGGATCCATACTTGGGCCCTTGTTATTTTTAATATATGTTAATGATCTCCCAAACTGCTCTTCTCTATTAAACAGATGACACTAACATTTTTTATTCACACCAAAATAAAAATGATCTCCTTACAATTATTAACACTGAATTAACTAAGGTATCTAATTGGCTTAAATTAAATATGCTGTCTCTTAATATTTCTAAAACTAATTTTATTGTTTTTAAAAATACTAAATAAAAAGCAGAGATTCCTTTCTTATTAAAATTGATAACAACATAATTGAACAAGTAACTGAAACAAAATTCCTTGGCATTACATTAGATTTCAAATTATCTTGGCAATCCCATCATAACAGTATTACAAATATTATATCAGGAAACATTGGTGTTATGAATAAATTAAAACATTACTTTCCGCAGAACATTCTTTTATCCTTGTATAATACTTTAATCTTACCTTATATCAGTTATTGTAACACATCATGGGCTGCTACAGTTGATAAATTTCTTCATCTATGTCCCTGGACAAGTCCTGAAACAACCCCTATTGACAGTATTTTTAAATTACAAAAGCGAGCCCTCAGGATTTGTGCAGGGACAACTCGTATTTCCCATACCAAACCTTTATTTTACAAATTTAATGTTTTAAATGTATTTGATTTGCATAAATTACAAAACTATGTTTTTATGTATCGCTTTAGAAATGAAACATTACCCCGACATATTCAAAATCTATTTCCAAAACAACAGGCTGATATTCATGACCATAATACTAGATTTGCTAAAAGTAACGTTTTATTTGAAAAATATACATCCTCTTCTAGAAAAAAAATCCATATTTTACACTAGTCCAAAATTATGGAATTCCTTAAAAACTTCCTTTAAATCCTTACCTAATCTCAACTCTTCTAAATACAATCTTAAAAAGTCTCTGGTCTCGGAGTATGGCCGGTAAGTCTCCTGGTCGGTCGGCCTGTCTGTCTGTCTGTCGGTCATTCTTATTTGTACTTAACGGACTGCCACCACATATATATATATATATATATATTATTTATTTATTTATTTATTTTGTGTTTATATTTTTGGATTTCTATATATTTTTAACTGGTGGCCACGACTTAAAGTTTTATTCTAAACTTATTTTGGCATCCTTCCACACACTTATTCTGTAATGTACTATTATTCTTAGTTGGTTTTACTATTAAGCTTTTGTTAATATGTTCATGTGTGTGGAGAAATAAATTAAACAAACAAACAAATGTACCGGTACAAAACTATGATAATTTAAAGAGAAATATAAAAGTATCATTTCCGACATTTATATTATTTCCATTTTCTTTCAATAGAGTCAGTGGCGTAACAGATAGTCTGGAGGTCGGGAGTGAGAAAGTGTTGAGGCCCCTGCATATACGTTGAGTATTTTCGCCCATGAATTTGGGGAAAGGGATGTGTGTCTGTTAGGCAAAATGTCTTCTCCCAAAAAAATAAAATTATCCCAAAAGAATAAAACGAATACAGAAATCATATTAGGCAATGCTATTTTTAATGAGAAATGCTAATGTGCGACTATACGGAATCACTTTGAATGTTTTCAAAATTTAAACTTAATCTTCGTGATCTTTACATCTGCACAATATCATTTACTTACATAAGATGCATCGTTACATTCTATAATAATAATAATAATAATAATAATAATAATAATAATAATAATATTATTATTATTATTATTATTATTATTATTTATTTATGCTTGCGGTACACCACGTAGATATAGTTCTATTACTTATTACTAATACTTGTGAATGCACAGGGTAAATAAAACATTAAATTTAAACGTAAAAGAAATAACGTAGGTTTATAGGGCACAATGAAAAAAGCCTATAGTATTATTGGCATTGAAAATACTAGATTTTGTTATATTATAAATAAATGAAATTAATGGATGAAATGGACGTAGGCATAAAAGATATATAAAAGAGAATTCAAAAAATAAGCCTATACTGATCTGAGTGGGAACAGGGTAGGGAAAGCAATAAATCACTTTGTTGTTGTTTTGAAGCGAATAGGACGTCCACCACCTTACCGGGCCAGGGAGGGACTTTAACTTGGGGGCCGTTGCGAATTAATGAATTCGAAGTAGAGGGAATCCAGGGAGGGACTTTCACAGAAATAGAGACCCGGGTCGACCCACCCCATTCGGCCGCAAGTTTGGGGTTGAGGAAAAAAAATGTATGATCATGGCACCTCTAGATGGCCTTAAATTGCACTTGCAGACTTAAATGAGAATGAAGATAATTCTAGTGAATCCTATAGAAAGAGAGGAGATGAGTTTGTACGTGGAGAGTTAATTGCTATACGCGCGCAAGCGAGGGGAAAACACTCAAGTTCCTCAAGAAGTGTTACAGTTAAAAGACCTTGCTTGTAAGACAAACTAAAGGCAGTCCTAGTTGGTGACTGGGTTTTGGTGGATGGATTTCTGGAACGTATGAGAGTGTGTCTTGAATTTTCTACCCCGGAAAATATGGACCTTTGGTATTTTGAGAGGTGCGTACGTACCCGTCGCACCCCTGCGTAAGGGCCTGTAATAGTTGATATTCATAAGCACATTTCCTACCTGATTCACTTAAAGCAAGATGGTTTATTGTTAAATTGTTGACAACTGTTTTCTCTCCCCAGAACGTTACATGTCATGTGAATTCATTCACTTGTTAGGATTCCCTTACCGCTCTTCCATCTACGGTACACTGCACTAAATGTGCCTTTCATACCTATCATAAACATATTTCTAAAACCTTTTGAGTATTGGCACGCACGCTTTTGTTTAATATTCTAAACTTTGATTAACTTCATGGATCAGGTTTTGTGTGGGATCTGTAAATATTTGTTGACATAGCAGGCCCGTGCACAGGATTTTTATTTGGGTGGGTGCAAATTTGTAGAGAGTGAACCGATTAGCTCCCGGTGAAGGTGTGAGGGGAGTCTAGGGGTAACACCCCGCTGGGGTCGAGCAGGCATTCTTAAACTGTTTTCAGTGGCGGATCCTGGAATTTGAAGAGGGGCTAGGGAGGGGCTTTCACGGATGTAGGAGATATCACCTCAGCCCACCATGGTTGGGACTGAGGGAAGAACATTTATTATTATGGAACCTCTAGATGGCTGGAAATTGGACTCTCATACAATTTGTATAAATTTCTTTTTTCGCCAGCAGTTTTTTTATGTTGAAAAAAAATAGGGGGACGGGACGGCTGGGCCTCATTGAATCCGCCACTGTCAAGGTCGGATCTAAGAATTCCAAATAGAGGGGGAAAGGGAAGGACTTTCAGAGGTTGAGGGTCTGTACCACCTCAGCCCCACCATGGTTGGGGCTGAGGTAAGAAATTGTATGATGATGGCACCTCTAGATGACCAGAGATGGTACTCGTAAATTTGAATATAAATTTCTTTTCTTTTTTTTAAATGTTTTTGACAAACTTAAGGGGTGGGAGATTGTAGAAGCACAGATACATTTGGGGAAATATCATCATCACATTCCTTCATCGTTGCTGCTGTGGATGGACGTTGGTTAGAGGATCCAGAGATAATTGACAATCGCACTATAATCTTTGATATAAATTTAGTAAAAACTCCGAATGCCTTGCAATTACGTAAAAAATTAAAATCCAATTCGGCTTTGTTCAAACGAAGAGTAATCTTTTCATATTTTCTTAATAAAAAAACTGGTAATTTTCTTGAACTGAAATCCTTGATAATAGAACCAAATGGACGTAAGTTGACAAAAAATACAACGCATTTTAAAAATAACACAAAAGATTTAATCTATGATATATTTGTCTATAGACAACCAATAATCTTTCTGTATGTTTTTTTTTTTTTGTTTCTTTTTGTATTACTGAATATATTTCTTGTTCTGGCATTCGTCATGGCGAACGGTGTCCCACCAAAGGTGGACTTAGGTAATGAGGCATAGGCCTAGGCCTAATGGAGTAACAGACAAATAATAATACGATGCAAAACAAGTTAAAATATCAAAACAAAAGTCTACTTAAAATAATTCAAATATGGTACATCTTCTCTTCTATGCTCGTCGCAACATCATCATCATCGCATATAGGCTAGAATAATATAGCTATTCAACTCCCATATCACAGTCAGTCACAGGAAGAGGTGACACTATAATAAATAAATAAATAAAATCAATTTTCTAATAACCACCATATTTCATTACAATTAATCATTTAGATACGCCTATGATAATTATAATTATTTTCCATCAATGAATAACAAACTTGTACTCACAATGAACATCTAAATTAAGGGCTGTCTTGTCTCCCTTACATGGCCATAAGCAGTCGAATATTTTGAGGAGGTGCGCATGACTCAGCTTATTTTGTTTATATAATAATTACGCTGATTAAAGTCATGCTTAATTGCTTCTATTATATAGGCCTATACGCAAATCGTAGCGCTCTTTAGGAGACGATCGTCTTAACAGTGACAAACGGTGCGGTCTAAGCCCGCGCTCGCCTGCTGCATCAAGATTTCCAAGCGAAAGTAAATATGATTTTAGTGAAACCTAGAATTAAAATGAGTTTGTATGCGGTGAAACACTACATGCAAGCAAAAAAAAAAAAAAAAAAAAAATTGATCACCTAAAACGCCTCAGAGGTTATTTTCGGGCGTCTAGAACACAAAAAAAATTGAAAGGGGCATGTCCCCGGACCGCCTAGGGTAGTGTTATCTCGATCAGCCCCACTTTCGCCCCCTCTTTTGCACATCTCTGGATCCGCCCCGGCAAGTGGCGCGGAAAACATTAAAATTTCTCAAAAAGCTTACTGTATAATAACAGTTGAAACTCGTTGCTAGTACGACGAGTTAGAGGCGACTTTGTTGGAAACTGCTCTGATTGGTCAAGATGGTTTGGTGGATGGATTTCTGACATACGCAAGAGTGAGTCTTGATATTTCTACCCTAGAAAATGTGGAACTTTGGTTTTTTGGGAGGGGAATGCGTACACACCCGTCGCACCCCCCCCCCCCCATCCCTGTGTACGGGCCTGTCATGCATCATGCAAACATGTGATGATTTATTGCTTCAATGTTGTCACTTACTTATCTTTCCAAACAACAATAATACTTTTAAGCAACCTCATATACATTAAATACATTCAAATTTATTTTTATTTATCTATCAACGAAAACTTTCGTTGATATATGTGTTCTATAATGAGTATTTAACAAGAACGTCTTGATGGAAGCAGTGACATACATGCCTTGAGGGTTCAGCGCACACACAAACGTTACTACCCGTTATCATGGAGGCGGTGGATGATTGCTCAGGCAGAGGAATATAAAATAAACCATCTTTGGTCTTTATTCCATGGTATTTGGAAATAGGTACCACCTTCAGATATGCTCGGACATTAGACTGAAACTAATGGTATTCTTCGCTCAGAGCATTCCCAAATTGGTTGGCAGACAAGCTAATAACTGAATGTCAATTAGCGAAAACAAAATTGTATTAATGTGTGTCTTTAGAATTAGATAACTTTATTATTATTAAGTCAATGTTTTATTTGAATGGTTGATGGCTCTTTTTATACACAGAAGTATGAAATTCAGTTCTACTCATTCATTTAAATATGCTATTCTCTTAAAACTGTATTTTTGCATCTTTCAGATAAACGACAATGGAGACAAATGATAGCCTTACAGATTACGACCCGATTGATGTTTTCATTGACACACTTCTGTATCCAGATATCGATCATGTCATACTTCCAGTAATTTGGCCAATCATCATAATTGTTGGACTTTTAGGTAATATTGCAACAATCATTGTATTTTTGAGAGTTAAGCAGATGAAAACGCCACTTAATGTCTATCTAGTAAGCCTTGCTTTTTCAGATAGTTTGTTTTTAACGATCGCCCCAATCCTGTTCTTGAGATCGTACGTTGAAAGTGATTATCACGATAGCTTTGATCAGGGTGATGTTACAAGTTACTTCTGTAAGCCAGTTGTGTTTGTGATAGACACTAGTTTCCAGATCTCAAACTTCATGATCCTCTGTGTAACCGCTGAACGCTACTTGGCGATATGTAAACCTTTCAAATACCGCGAGTCCGCAACCAGACGCCGGGCCTTGAAAATATCACTCACTGTGTGGATACTTGTGTCCCTATACCAAAGTCGTCTTTTGATCTCTGTCGGGGCTGTTTCCCGTGCGTTCCCTTGGCACGATGGATACCGAGGTTTATCAAACATGCCAACAATATGCTTTTATTGTAGTTCTTTTCAAGTAGACTTAGCTTGCGATGTCGTAAACAAGATGTATACAGCTGACATCGGCGTTGGTATACTGGTTGTTGTTATTATCGTTCCGATGTACATGCAAATGATCATGGTGCTTCGGCAAGAATTTCCCTTCACTGAGTCATCTGTGCCCATCCAGAACCGAATCAGATCCGAGCGGAAGATCTTTAAGACAGTGATTATAACAGTTGCTGTTTATGTGGCGTGTTTCTTGCCTTATCGCTTGCTTAATCTCATTAGTATGTACTATACAGGTTTTGACTTATACGAATTCAATAAATATGCAAATCTTCTCAGAACACCAATGTTTATCAACACAGCTATCAACCCGATTATTTATATCATGACAAACAAAGCGTATAGAAACGCTTATATCGCATACTTCAATCCTTGTGGGTTTAAGTGTACGATTAAATGTACGCTTGATGGAAATAAACAGAAAGACCCCCATAACAAGATGAGAGTGATATCATCACCAACAGTTTCCTCAGTTACAGCCACTTCTGTTGTCAGCGGATCAGAGCAATGCTAGTCAGTTCATTTAATAGGTGGATGCTTAGCTCAGTATCGCATACGTAATCAAACGCCAAAAACGACAAATTACAAGTGGCGCAGTGCAAAAGTCAGGCGCAGTGCAAAAGTCAGTCACAGTGCAAAAGTCAAGTGGCGCAATGCAAAACTAAAGTGGTGCAGTGCAAAACAAAAGTGGCGCAGTGGAAACTCAGAATGCGTGTGGACCCACTTTAGTTTTGCACTGCACCACTCGACCTCTGCACTGTGCCACTTTAGTTTTGCACTGCGCCACTTGTGGTATGTCCTTTTGGCGTTCCATAGGGGACAGCTACGCAGTGCATGCACGGATTGCAGTTAAAACGCTGTAGCGACAATGTAGCGACTGTATGGAAAACAGCTTCAGCAATGGTTGTCCCAAGCGCATACTTTGCGTACAAAGAGCCGGAACAGGGAGCCTCGGTATCTGCATTAAAATGCCAGCGATATCCACGATTTGATGGCTACACGCTGGCCAAAAGATTGCTGATCGATGAAGATGTTTTTCAGTCATCTAAATTATATTCTAATATTATTTCAACATTATAATCATGATAATAATACCTTCAGATAAGCAGGCTGATCTGTATTGCCGCAGTTAACTTTTTAAGCCATTTGTCATCTTGAATTTTATACTTTGTAGGTTTATAATTTTTTACATCTTGAAGTAGGCCTATAAATTATTTAGCGTGTTGTGGTATTTAATTCGTGTTTATAGATAAAGATGAAATGAATGAAATTAATTTGCCTCAATATGGGGAAACAGCAATTGAACACTGGAAATCATCAAATATGATACGGTTTTGAATTACAATGTAGATGAACACAAAACCAAGGCAAATTTTAATTAGTGTATAGTAATTACAATATAATATTATATTATACCTTCAAACTGTTGCGAATGCTTCTTGTTAGGACGCAACACGAAGAGTTGACTGACATACGTGGTAGTTCAGATGTCACACATTGTGGTCTGTATATTAATAATGCACTAAATATTATGTATACTTTAAATTATATTAGTACAAGGAAGCAGTGGCGTATCTAGAAGTCTTGAAGTGGGGTGCAGCGATGCTGATGGGAGGGGGCGATGGTGAAGAAGTGGGGGCTGGATGATCAATTGAGGGGCGCTAACTCTCAAAATAAGGTGATTTTTAACTACTTGACCGTGCTTTTTGGGGCGCGAGTAACTTTTGGAGGGGTGTGTGCCCCCCCCACCCACGTGCACCCCATAGATACGCCACTGCAAGAAGGTAAGCTTTATGATATTTGGTATTTATTAGATGTTTACACACTTCACTTTATTGATAAAACACTCAGAAGTATTACAAATGGTGGCCCAATGGGCCAAATTGCTTGTAATATTACAAAAGTTATGGGCAAGAAAGCGGCAAAAACATTAAAATATTAAAAAAAGAAGATACAAGAATACATAAAAAAAATAAAATAAATAAATAAATAAAAAATAAATATATATATATATAAAAAATTGTTATTTATTATTATAATAATTATTATTATTATTATCATTATTATTATTATTATTATTATTATTATTATTATTATTATTATTGTTATTATTATTCTTATTATTATTATTATTATTATTATTATTTGGACCGAAAATTTGTAGTACCAATCGGGAAGGAGGGTGGCACACTCAAATCATCAAGGGTAACATTGCTGTTTATGAATTATTGAGTAATCGGATATAGTACGGGATTGGACTATTGAAAAATCTATTTGTTTTAATGGAAAATTGCGTGATTTTGTTTCCATTGCGGAGATTTTTATTGTGGCTGCGGTAACGAGTGTGTGGTACCAGATCAGAAGAATGTGAAGTTAAAGTGAGACCCTTAGCGAATTTGAGACAGTGTGCCGCCCTGCTTTCCGAGAGCAGTTCAAGTTCACATATGCCCAAGGCATGTTCATAAGAATTGAAATGTTTGCCTAAGATTATATGGCATGCCCTTTTCTGTATCGCTTCAATAGTGTTACTTAAATCTTGAGTGAGGCCAGGGTGCCACACAACATCAGCATATTCTAATATTGGTCTGATATACCCTGTATAAACTGCTATAAGTTCTTGTTTATCAAGTCCAAATTTCTTAAGATTTCGGAGCATAAACAGTTTCCTGTTGGCCTTAGTAACAGTATTGTTAACTTGGGCATTCCATTTCAAATTATTTTGAAGTGTGACGCCCAATATATGTAGTTTAAATGTATCAAAAGTACGTGAAAATAGTGTTTATGGTTCTGTAAAATATTTTCTAATTTAAATCTTAACGATTTCAATTTGCCTTTTATAGAGAGATTTAAAACATTGAACAGTAAGAATATCACATCAAAATTAAATTTGTATCAATAAAATCATTCAGAAACTATATTATATTATATATCTGTTACCGGGGAGGGGGGGGGGGGGCGTGGACCACCTTGTCGGGGAACCTGGACTCCTCATCGGGGAATTCCCATGGCGCCGCCCCTGTTAGATTCCTATTTCTATAAATACCCGACAAAAGAACAAAACAAAATTTCAATTGAAACAATATATGACATCTACACAGATGTCCAGTGCTAATGTATGCTGTAATTTGTTTGTGAATAAGTAAATTATGCGGGAAGGAGTTTGGGTGGTCCGATTTGTATGCTTTTTTAATTATAAAGAATCTATAAATATATAAAATTCTGTGTACCATCTGTCATTAATAGATTATATGATCTGTCACACTATGTGAAATATAAATATTGCTTAAAACTTATTCTTGGAGAATGGTGATGGAATGTTTAATTACAAGTAAAATAAGAATAATTAGTTTTGATGCACCGTATTTTATTGTCAATTTATATAAGACTATCAAATACTGCACAGCTTAAACGTTTGAACCTGTTCTATATTAATCAGTATGACACAACAAATACAGAAAAACACTTAAAATATTTCCTATATTTCTATGTTATGAGCTAAAAATCTTGACAATTAAAATTCAACATATTGTGATTTGCTTACTTTGTATGGTTCGTTGTCAAAAATATGTTTAAAACACAACAAAAAAAGGAATAATTTCAAATCAGTTCAAATATATTAAAAGTATATTGAAATTTCTGTCATGTTAGTATCAGCTTTATTATAGAATAATAAGCCTATAAACATTTCGAACAAAACTTTTTTTTAGTAAAATAAAAAGTAAAATGTTTGATTTTAGCCCTACATCCAAGCGTGTAACGAACAAAGATTCTGTTGGTTTGGTTAAATAACAATGCATAGTAAAATGATGTGCAAAAACAATCTCCTCTACATATATGGATATAACTTGGAATGCACTGCAGCTATATATTAACAATTTTAATACTTCACGATGACGTAAAAATGTCTTTCCCCACCCCCCCTTTTTTTCTGGTCTTTCGTGGGTGCATCTCACCTTTATTTCAACCATCGCAGAATAATTGTTTGCAGAATTTGTTGTCAAAGAATTATATCACACAGTTATAATATATATCTACACATACATACAAACATACATATCATACACATATCAAATGTATGTAAGTACTCAAACACTCTTTTATGTAAAAAAAAGTATGGTAATCTATGTACATTTCAACTGTTAAATATATAAATATACTTTACATAGATATTAAACAAAAATATGATAAGGTAAATGAATGAATCAGTGTTGGATAGAGAGGCTATAAACCCAGAGGAGGCATAGAAGCCTCCCTTTTCACCAAGAAATGATAATTGTAGAATAATGGAACAGATAGAAACAGAGTTAGAACAATAGCACGTAGTGATTATACAATGGAAAGCCGTAAGGTTAGGATCCACACAAGGTGTTTATCTTGGCTCTGTGTGTATGTGAGACGCATCGTACTCACATTTTTCTCAAAATACCGTAATTAACATCCAAAGATAATAAAATATTTTTATTTCATTTCTTTAATTACCACCACTTTTATTCAATAAAAATAAACCAAGTGGTCACTAAAATCATTTAAACATTATACAAACACACTTTGTCAAGGGTACAGTGCTTGAATGCCAATGGTATATTTTAGCTTACGAAGATCAATCTTTGACCATTTTTTTTTTTTTTTTGCTTTATCATTATTTAATAAAAATTCAAATTTTATCAAGTTCTTCAACTCGGAAACAAATTTTATCCATGGACAGCTTCTTCAGAGTCCAAGTCTATGCTTGATTTTACTTTTGTAAATGCAAAATGTGAATTTGAATGTTACCTCATTGGTTATTTCATTGTACATACCAAGGACAATTTTACTCCACAGTACTAAATTAGTGTAGCGGATAGATTTCATAATTTTAATCTGTTTTTAGTTGGAAGTATCATGTGAATAAAATTAAAAATTAATATGTGTAATCTTTTTTTTTTTTTTTTTTTTTTGTAAGTGCATCATGGCATCAAGGTCTTTTTTTTGTGTTCATTTTCTACATCATGTTTTACAATAATTACTTGGATTTTGACAAATCCCACATAATCTCGAGAAGAAATTGAAATCCAAGCCGACTCAACATTATCCAGCACTTACCAATATCGCCTGTTTTCGTTTGCACATTTCGTTAAATGAAGCTCTATGGTTCAATTATAGATCAAAATAGGGCCATCATACTTGAGCTATACGGATTGCCGTATCAGGAGCTAAAAAAAAAACTTCATTATAGTGGATCTTCCATAAGCTGAAGTCATAAGTAATTACAGTAATATAATTAAAAGTAACAAACATTCTATTCATATAATTCATACAAAATAGCTTCTAGCATGCCGAGACAATGTCAAAATGACGGTCAATTTTATGCTACAGAGATGATTCTGATGGGCCTACGCAACGCAAATCCTTTGACTGAGTGAACCACGTTATTTATATTATCGAAGAAGAAAAAAAAAGAAGCACGGTAATTTGAATTTCGTTTCTGATCCAAACTAGTCCCATTTGTTTTTAAAATTTTCATTTGACTAAGTGAACCACGTCATTATAGAAGGAAATAAAGAATATCTTTATCCCCGCAGATGCTTCTTCTTCCCACGGGATTCCGAAAATACCTGTTCCTGATCCAAACTAGTCCCATTCGAGGACGATGTGCATTGTTATGCATCCTGAACAACCCTAATAGGCCTAGACCTGTCTTACTCATGTACTGTACTTGCATTGTTGTGACGTGTGATGAACTCTGGGACTCGATGTTGGGGTTTCAATCCCCTCGCTGTGCATTTCACTTGTGTCCTTGGGAAAGGCACTTTATCTACACTGCTTCTCTCCACCCAGGAGTATAAATGGGTACCTGGTAGAGTTAAATGCCAAAATGCGCTGATGTAGCTGCTGCAACTTTATGGAACAGTTTGTGTTCTATAGGCGTCTAATTCAATGACCGGGGGTAGTAATGTGAAGCGCTTAGAGGCCTTGTTGGCATAAAGCGCTATATAAATATAACATAATATCACTAGCTGTGTACCCGTCCTTCGGACGGGAATCAAGGCAAACTGAGTGCATGAGACTAATTTTTAAAAAAAGTATTTCATTATGATAGTGCTATCGAATGGAATAGATTAAGCCCTGATGTACAGTCTTCTATCATTTTAAGTATTTTCAAGAACCACATTTGTATTAATAATTAATGAAAACAAAGTATAATAGTATAAACATTGCATAAATCACTAATTTAATGTTTTCTTGCTTTGTTTTATTAATATTTTACATTTCTTTTTATCGTAATTTACAGATTACTTTTGTGGAGTGGATTTTCTTTATTTCCATAATTTTTCTTGCCATTGTTGCTATAGATTACTTTTATTTAATAAATTGTTGACTTTTCCGTACTGTATAATAAATATGTTTTGTATCTATATTACTGTATGTAATTTCTGCGTTTAACTTCTGTTTATTATGTACCGTACTGTGTAATTTATGTTAATTGTAAATAAGGTATCTGACGACCATAATAAAAAAAAAATTATATTTGTTGATTTGTACTTTGTGAATAAGCCAAAATGAAGTTTTACTACTACTACTGCTGCTACTACAGTACATTGGTACTCTAGTTGTCATTGTTGGTGTTCTGGTGGAACTGAAATAAAAACTGAACGCCTTTGTGCTGTAGTTGTCGTCGTCATAATCATTCTCGTTTGCAGAATGTATGTCACGAAAGAAATCATCATCTTCACCATTCTCGTTAGCAGAATGAATGTCATGAAAGCATTAAAACAAATAATAGAAATATTTGTATTGTAATTTCATTACAGATCAAGTCTGTGTTTAATCAGTAATCGTCGTTTAATTTTTCGGGCAGGTATAAAAGTATTTTTAACGTATTTGTTTCTTAAACCTTTTTAACACATAGCAGGGGCTGATCCAGAATTTTTCAAAAGGGGGGTGGGGGCACCACAGTTTCAGAATAGATAAGAGAGTAGCACATAACACTGATCAGTGACATGCATTGAAATTTAAAAGAAAATTAGTATCAAAACAGGGGGAACGTGCCCCCACCCCCACCCTAATTAAATATGTTTCAAATTTAAACGTTGGTTTTAACAATCTATAGTATCTATAGTGTAAGCCCAATATATTGGTATTTCTGATGAGAGAAATTTGTGTTGCTATATTATCCAGCCTCAAATAAAAAAAAAGTGTTTATAATCAATTTCTTAATAAAATTACTTCGCTCATATTTTTAAACAATTAAAAAACATTAAAAAGAAAGTTTGGTTTCTTTATAGGCCTACGGTGGACTTACGAACTACTTTTGATATTTGTGGTGCTTTACGGTCCAAAATCTATCTTTGAAATATTTTGCCCAGTGGTGTTATATGGAAATTCTATATTTTAACTCGTGGATTCAAAAATATAAAAAAAAATGAAGAAAGAAAATTATATACAAATTTAAGCATCAGAGAAAGTCCCTCCTCGGGCCCCCTCTATTTTGAATTCTTGGATCCGCCACTGGATTTAAGTATGAAAATTGATAATGCAAAAATATAGAACTATGATACAAACGTTATTTTAAAGTTGATACGGTTTGTTTATTAAACAGTTCATAATTTGACAGCCAATTTTTTCTCCATACAACTTGTAATAACGCCATGTAGACCAGGCTTAGCAGTAATTTTTTAATTAAGGCAAGCACCCTATTGTCATGGCTAATATTAAGAAAACACCCATTATTATTAGGTCTACCGAGTCTCATTTGCATTTCGTTTGTCAGCGGCGTAGGTTCGAAAGGGCCCCGGTGCAAAATTAATTGCCGGCGGGGCCCCTTGATGTGACAAGTAAGTCCCTAACGTTTTCAGAAAATCCATCGTAAGAAGTGCTTCTTTTACCCCTACTCCTGAAGGCATAGGCTAAATACTAATGACAATCGGATTCGTAACTATTTTAAGAGGGGAATATTCGATATCAGCAGCTGTTTTAAACTAATAAAGAAAATTTGTCGCACATAAAATTCAACAACTGCAGCGGCGGGTAAGGAAATTCGAAATAGAGGGGCCCAGGGAGGGATTTTCATAGGTGAAGGCCAAAGACCACCTCAGCAACACCATGGTTGGAGCTGAGATAAGAAAATTTATGATTATAGCACCTCTAGATGGCCGGAAATAGCACTCTCAGACAAATTTTACTATAATTTCCTTTTTTTCCCATTTGGGGCACCATTGAATACACTACTGATTTGAAATCAACACAGTAATCAATAATTAATCTTCTAAAATATTATTGAGGAGCCAGTTGGCCGTTTTATTGTTAAGTTGGAAATCATTTTATACTTATTATTTTTAGGTCTATTTATAAATGCCCCTAATAGCCCTGGGCCCCAGTGCATTGCACGTAGCTACGCTACTTCGTTTATGTCCTTGCGCAAGGTACTTTCTATGCATTGCTTCTCCACCCAGAAGTATAAAATCGGTACGCGCACATTCCCTCTAACTATATTGACAATGGTAACGGAATGAATTGTCATTCACTACAATAATGCTTATACAGTATAGGCCTATTTACTAGATTTCTGTTTCTTGAAGAGAAACGCAATTAATCAAGGCAGAGAATTATCTGCAAAGTGAAAGAAATACAGGTTTATAAAAGCATCTTCTATTATATAGGCCCATAATAACGATTGCTTGATTTCTCTACTACATATGATGTTGCAATAGGCCTACGCATGCAAGGTTTCGTGTTATATATTTCCTTGTCGCCATGGCAAGCCTATACAGGCCTAAAAAGAAATAAACAATCTTATGCGTTCAGAAAGTAGGACGCGGGTGAAAAAAAAATGTGTTTCGATCACTCCTCCCTTTTTGGACGAAGGCATTTGTTATTGATCATTTTAACAAAACATTACCAAATTAATATCAAGGCTATCATTATTATGATGGTCGGTTACGGTAAATTACAATATTAAAGGGAAAAGTAGGCCTAGGTAAGTTTACCTATGTTTTGACATAATAGTTCGGTTAATGCGATTCAATTCCAGACCGATCGACTGTCTTTGTTTCAAATACCATGGAACCCAAACGCCAAAGTAGGCCTATGGATGAAACATACATAGAGCACCACATAGGCCTATATAATTTTCGTTTTGTCCTGTTGGAAGCAAGGTTGCAAATCGATGCTACAGTTATCAGAATATCATTCATTTGTTCTATGACATCCATTTTAACTCAGTAAAAATGGTTCTAATTGATCAGTTACGCAAGTCTTGATGTACACCTTCTTCACAACATTATTCTTAAATATCTAAAACAAAATAAGGCATGGATTACAACAGCTTAGAATTACCAAAGACAAATAAAATAATCTATAGATTCTATTTTCTTTACAGAGGCGTAACTAAGGGGTCACCACAAACCATAGTTTAATTGCCTGTCCACTTGTCACATGGGCCCCTTGATATAATAAACGTTAACTAGAAATTATCTGCCGACTCCTCCCGAGTTACTTTAAGTCCATACGTCTTGATTTTCACTACTGCTACCTTATGGTGTAGTTGTATACCATGAGCTTCAGATCAACAGATTGTCATTTATCTATGCAAGTCTTGGTTTTCTGAATGCCACATGGAATTATCTTGAGAGTTTCACCAGATGACGTCCTCCGACGCTTCAGATAAACACATAGCGATATGTCCATCCTTCTGAATTTGGGCCAAACTGTGGAATACAAGCATTTTTATTGCATTAGTACACATTATAGGGCAGGTTTTCCTCCTCCAATAATAGATCACTTCTGGAACCAGTGTATAGTGGCCTTGTGGCTTCTAATAAGAATCCCTCTAATTAAAGACGGCCACTTAAAAAATTATTTAAAATATTTAAAAGATATTTAAAAAGTGGTTTTTAAATATCTGTGTTTAGAGCGAAATCAAGAAATTATATGTAATTTATATTTAAATGTAAGATTATTTTCTTCAAAGTTTTTTTACAGACCGTATACTGTTATTGATAATAATATAAAGCCCTTTTTACGCGCGCCTTAATTTTCGCAATTTTCATTATTACTCAAATATCCATTTCAAAAAACACTAATCGATATTTAATTTGGGGCAAGCTAAAGCCTAGACATATTCAAAATATCGACTTTTGATGTCTGTAACTGTAAACAAATTTGCACTAAAATCACTATTATATCATTTAAAACTAGTCTTTAATCGAAGGAAATAATTTCAGTTTGGTCATTGTAGTACACACAAAACATCATCTTTTGATGTGCATTGGCTAATATTTCTATGATTAAGTCATCTAACAAAATCTACGATAGACAAAAATAACACATTAACATCACTTTCTATTTTATAGTGGTTTATAATTGAGGTAACATTTCTGGTTGGGTCCACCAAAACCAAGGTTTTTTGGTCTCTTAATAGAGGGAACCTTTAATTGGAGGGAAGATATGATGGTAAAAGATAGATATTGAAACGTGGCAGAAAAGTGGTCTTTAACCGGAGGGGTCTTTTGGAACATAGTACAGCTAAATACAAGAAACTTTCGATAGTGCGAGAACAGTAGAATCTAGGTTTAGCACATCGCATGTAAGTCATCTGCACATGCGTTCTTATTGCGTCTGAATTTCAAGACGTGGTTGGATCGATCGTGAATTTACGTTGTCATAATCGCCCGTTGTCTGATATTTATCATGATACTTTACAATAAGGGGCATACATGCAATATGATTGATGACACTAAATAATATACGCTGCAAGTAATAAAATGCAAGATTACCTTTTGACATGATTGTAGCACACTGGTTGCTACCAAACATCATATTGATTTAATATATATCAACAGTGTTCTGGTTAACATTAATGTACTGAATGGAGCTACTTTAATATATCGTAAATTTAGTCACACAATATATATTTTATTCATTATCAATTAACGTAATGTATCGTAATCGTACTATCGATTTATATCAAAATTTTGACCTTTTTTCTTCTTTTTTTTTTAATGTATTTATATATATTCTTTATTCTTTATTTTAAAAAACCACATCCAACAGCAATCACTTGCCAGTAACAGGATGTCTTAGAATATTTACAAGCATAATAAAATATAACAAAGATATAAAAAAAAAAACACACAAAAAAAAGAAACAGGGTCACAAGTCACTCACACACACACACACACACACAAACCCCCACACACTCACTAGAGTACAAATTCAATCAGATCAATCATGTAAATGCATGCACATGTAATAAACTGGTTTTAAATTAACTTAAATTTTGATGAAATATATCGATAGTAGGATCTTCATGTAACAATGTATTATAAGTAAAAGCAAAACGATGAATGAAACCATTTTTTGTATAACGAACTCTGTTAAACGGAACCATAAATACATTTTTGAGCGAGAATTTAGTCTATTAATTTTAAGAGAAAATAAAGAACATAGGCCTAAATTAGTATCAAAAATAGAATTCGTATACACTTAAAAAGAAAAACCATATCAAAATAATTTCTCCTCTTACTAAGTGCAGGAAGAGAGTACGGAACCAAATTAATATCATTATAATAACTATGATTAATGAAATACATAAACTTTAGATTGAACCCTCAATACGATGGGACTGTGATACTGAAATAGAATTGTAAATTAGGTTGCAATAGTCGAAAATATGTCTAACCAACGAAATATAAGTTAAATTTGTATCGTCCAGGAGTTTGCAGATACGCCAAAATATACCCAGCATTTTGTTTCCTTTACAGACAATAGTATCAACATGGTGATTAAAATTAAGTTTAGAGTCGATTAAGACACGCCCAAATCTTTATGCACATCCACCCTGTTGATATTCATACCATTCAAACTATAATTAAATATAAAAGGGGCTTTCTTAAGACTAATTGAAAGAACTGAGCATTTATTAGGATTGAGAAACAAATTCCAAACTTCGGACCACTTAAATAATCTATCAAGGTCATCCTGAAGATTTTCAGGGCATCTTGCCTATTCGTTTCAGGACATCGTTGCCAATTGATTTATTGATTAAGATTCAAGATTCATTTATTATCGTCATACATAATACATATTAAAGTGTGGTCTACAGCCAGTGGCAGATTCAAGGGGGAGGGGGCAGTCGCCCCGGCCCGCCAATTTTTTTCAAAATAAAAAAAAAGAAAAAAAGAAAATTTAACTCAAACTTTTAGTCTAAAAGTGTCATTTCCGCAGCCCCAACTATGGTGTAGCTGAGGTACCCTCCATCTGTGAAAGTCTCTCTCCGGGCCACCTCTATTCCAAATTCCTGGATCCGCCACTGACAACTTTTATTTAACATCGATGACAAGAATTTCAAATTGGTGGGTTTTTTTCTATCCACTTTTCTTAGACACAATATTGAGCCTTAGTGCATCTGAAGATTTCAAACCTGTATCCCATAGCGGTAATTTAATACATTTTAGCTTGAAAACGGCTCTCAGCTTAACAGGCTTGCAACTGTAAATGCATCCATATTGATGTGATAAATCTTACTGGAATGATGTTCTTCACTATTAAAACAGGTTGCTTAGCAACATTTACAAGTATAATTGCTAATGAAACGAAATGCCTATGGTTAAATTCTGTCCATATCATATTTATGGTGAACTCTCCAATTAGGTAGGTACTCTAATGTCTTTTTAGAGTTAAGGGTTATGCTGCACCTACTGTAAACTGTAAAGTTCTTTTTGATAAAGACCTCCTTAGTTTCTCATGGAACAGGTCTTGCATAATTTCTGTGTGCTTGTGAAAGCATCTCAGCTAAATCGTATAGTAAATAGTTTCGTTCATCCTATTTAAGTTCTTCTAAGCATCTCTGATCCGAGGTCCCCGACGGAGGGGGGGGGTCGATACCCCCGACCAAGGGGAAGATTTCCCCGACGAGAGCAAAGGGGGAGTGGTCGAGCGTCGCTTAAAATATTTCGAATGTACTCCAGGGGTAGTAGCCCCCGAAAATTTTGACAATTTATGGGTTTCGAAGGCTTATTTAATCGATTTTAGGGTCTACTAATATGCACGAAATACATATAATTTTTTTTTCTCCCCGACAAATTGTGGTTTTTCTCCCCAACTGGCGCCACACCTGACTTTGGATGGGCTTCTTTTCGAGATGGGCTTTTTTTTAGGCTACTTTATATATTTCTTATTTTTCATGTAACCGTGTCTTTTCAATGAAATTTTATTGTATTGTTTTTATGATGATGTAAATTGAAAATGTTTATGTGAAATGCTAAATAAAACAAATAAAATAGGGCCACTGAAACAACAGTATCATATGGAGTGTATTAACCAGCATTAAATCACCTAAACTAATGTATAAAAAATGCGTGTTCTTAATTTATTCATGTGCAGTGTACTGTACTATCTCGACAAAAAGCCCAATGTACTGTACTATCTCGACAAAAAGCCCAATGTACTGTACTATCTCAACAAAAAGCCTATCTATCTTGAAAAGGGTAAAAGAAGCCCATGGGCTTCTTTTCGAGGCTACTTTTGCAAACTAAAGAGGGGCTTCAATTCGAGATGGGCTTCTTCTCGAGATTAAGCACATTGGTCTTCTATTCGAGGTTTTACAGTACATAAGTTTGTACAGCAAAGCTTTGTATTTTTTTTTTTTCTTTCAAAGAATTTTAAATACTGGTATATAATAATTTCAATATGCCTATATAAAACAGCCTTACAATAATAAAGAAATGTATATTAGAATTTCAAAGTTTACTATTAAAAACAGTTCAAGAAAAAAATATACCTAATCAGTGTAAAAGTAAGAAGTATTTCTTTGTAAAACACATATAGGCCTAGGTTTTAATCATAATCCACCAATTTTCCATAATAAAAAAATGTTCACATGACTGTAGCGTTAACGTAAAATAACACAAACATACTTAAACATATTAATATTTACCTTGGTGATATGCGATTTTTTTTTTAATCAAAATTAAAATAATTTTAATATTCTAAATAATGGAGAAATAAATAATTACAATTTTCGATTTTTAATTTTTTAACTTTACTATTTTAAGGAAAAAATACTTAATTATAGTAAAAGGTATATTTTTTAGTATTTTACGCATATTCTACCAATCTTTCATAATACAAATATATGCAATGCATAAATACAACAAATGTTTTACCTTGGTGAAAATGCCATTTGGCACAACGGACAAACTGTCAGAGCGCCATCTGTCGTCAATTCATCATCACTGACCAAGCTAGTTATATTGTTAGCACCTGATTGGCTGCTTATTGTGCTTTTCTGAAAACATGATTCGTTTTTATCCAATGGCTGATTGCTTATGGATTGAGTTGCTGTTTGCTTAGGAGTTATTTTCTGTTTTGTAAAATTTAAAACAGTTTGAGTCTTATTTGAGAGACGTACAGATGAAGATGATTGCAAACAACTTCTTTGATCGGGTTGCGTTAGCGTGTTTGCTGTGGATGACTTATTAAATTGCTCTTTCACTGCTGGACCAAATACCTGCTCCATTGGGCCTCCTTGGTTAGTGTTTAATTTCAAAACTGGCTTCTCTTTACAGACTTTCTTTGCAGACATTTTTGGAAAACATTGTTTTTGACTAGTAACCACCACATTAGATTGATCAGCAAAGTTGGCTGCACGTTTTAAAGACAAGCTTTTTCTTCTATCGTCCTGTCGTATGCCGAATTTCTCCACTTTGTCGGCACGACTTTGCACACTAACTTCGTATGCCTGTTGCGCCCTCTCTTCGTCCACATGTGGCATGTCCGCTGCTCTTAACAGCAACACGTTGTTATGATTAACTTTCTTTTTGGTAAGGCACACCAAACATGGTCTTGGAAGTGGTGTCCACTTTGTAGTTTCTTCATTTATCATCTAAATTTACATGAGAAAACAAGTTATGATTATTATATTTTTACACAATATGTTAGAGAACCACCGAGTGAAGCTAATGATTCGCATCCCTTGATGGTCGTCATCGTGGAATAGCTGAATTTGACGTGGTGGGGGTTGAGTGGCTGACATAGATGGAAAATTGGAGGGGCTTTTAATTTTTCCTCCCAAGAAAATATAAATACCCGACTAGTATTTTATTTACAATTTCAGGGTGTAGAATGTCATAAAAAGAATTGGGATAAATTGCTAAAGCTACATTGTTAAAAGCTTTCGCGCCTGCATCACAATTACCGCACACTGATATGCAAGTAACAAGCAAGTTGATATCATTTCAGAGTTCTGATCAGCGGTGGCTCCATATACTTGCCGACAGGGGCATGTCCGGGGGGGGGGGGTCCGAACCAAGGGGACGAATAGAGCCTCGGTCTGGGTCCCGGAATAAGAAATCTCTGATAGGGTTCACGGGGAGAGTTTATATGGCTTAGTAAACGTTATTTAGATAAGCAATTTTTTTAAATTATTTTAAACCGACGACCTAGTCGTGGCGTCGGATGACCGGGGAGGGGAATCCCCGCTTTCGCCACCACTGCTTATGATACCAAATTTTCTAATACTCTACATTTAAGTAGTAATAAGTATGAATTATAATATATATCAGCACAAGAACAATAATCAAATCAATACTAAGAATGTCCCAGGATGCGCAAGCTTCCAGAGCTCTTTTTAGTTTTGAAACCCTGGCGTCCCCTACCCTGGCCCCAGCAAATAGAAAAAAAGACAAGACTACTAGTATACCGTAAAACATCGAATAGAAGCACAATGGGCTTAACTTCGAGAAGAAGCCCATCTCCAATTGAAGGGCCCCCCTCCCATTTTAGTTTGCAAAAGTAGCCTCGAAAAGAAGCCCATCCGAAAAGAAGACCATCTTTTCAAGATAGCATTCGAGATGATAGTACAGTACATACACAGTACGGTAAATCTAAAAAGCAACAAAGTAACACGTTTGGTTTATACAGTAGTTTAGTTGACTTAATACCGGTAATATACACCATGATTCAGATTGATGTTACAGTGGCCCTATTTATTGTTTTATAGTACAGTAGTAGTAGAACCGAAAGGTCCACTGATTAATCTCAGATAAGAAAGTATAATAATACATACTCCAAGTATTGAAATACACGCCACAGTAGTAGTAGAAGTCCAATCCCCGCCCCCACCCACCTCTTTACTTTGCAGAAGTAGCCTAAAAAAGAAGCCCATCTCGAAAAGGAGCACAGTTCACAAAAAAAAAAAAAGAAGAAAAACCCAGGGCTTCAATTCGAGGCTTGACGGTAGTTACATGGCTAGGTTGATGGGGAGAGCTGATCGCAAATGTCTTACGTAAGATAGTTTGAAATCTCATGAATTATTCATCATCATCCTTATAGTACTATTTTGCGCATGCGTTATTTTCAAGTCTGTGTCTCAGCCTCGGCGCGCGAGGGAGCTAGTTAAAAAAATAAATAAATAGATTTTGGGCGAACTGAGCGGATACAATTGATTAAAATGCCTCTCTTTTAATAATTTTAGATATTATAGTCAAGATTAGATGGTAGGCCTAATTCAACAAAGGGTCCAGTGAGCATAATGGTCTTTGATATGTAGTACTTTTCATTATTTGCAGAAGTATGCAAGTATTATATTATAATCACGTAACATTAGAGCCTTCATTCAGTCGAACGTATTTTCTTGGCTTAGGCCTACATGGTGGAGTTTTAATAAACTTCAATTGAACGAATATTTAGTATTGTATTTGCTAACTGACTGTAAATATATCACTTCAATGTATTACATCAATCACCTGTTTTATTATTGCATCGATTCAAATACTGGTTCTGGAGGTGGTGCCACTGGATTTGCCCGACGGGGGATACGAGGTCCCCAACGAAAAAAAATTGGGCGTGGTCGGGTGTCGCTCAAAATCTCTCGAAAGTCCCAGGGGACACGAGGTCCCCAACGAAAAATATGAAAATTTAGGGGTTTCTAGGACTTATTTAATTGATTTTGGAGTCTACTATTATGTAGAAAATACATATAGACTGATGAAATTGTTGTGCAAACAAAAAGAATAAATTGAAACAGTTTATGATCTTTTGATGAGACTTGTTTGATGCTGCTGACCGCATTAAAGGTATACCAGACCATTTATAGAACTTAGGTTACCGTTTTGTATCTTTTGATGTTGAAACTCTGTTTACAAATGTTTGATTTGATTTGATTTGATTTAATCGATATCAACAGAAAAACATTACAAATCGGAACAACAATAAACAGAGAAACAAAAAAGAAAAAAACAAGCACGTCATCTTTGTTGATATCTAGGATAACCCTCTAAATCCCAACACAGGATTTATTTCCAGAGGGGTCCCAAAATACACAAAACAGACGACACCAAAAAATAGACATGAAAAATGAGTTAAAAATCAACAAGCAGGAATAAAGTATTCCAGAGAACAGAGGCAAAAACCGAGATCTTATGCAGTTAAAATAGTCATTATTAATTTATTAACCGATTAGTGAGGGGAGACTTCCCTTACTAAGGTAATTAATATAATTCTTAATGCTTTGATCTTTAGTTTATTCATAGCTATGTCACCTACTAGAGGTAATGTTTTGATTGGTTAAACACTTTTGGTACTTGTGCGTACACGGTAAGCTTGCAAATACTTTTTCATTCCTGATGACATAATTAATGTCGAAATATTGAATCTTCACACGATGGCGTTCATTTCGATACTTGGAGTATGTATTATACTGTCGTTACTGATCTTCCTACTACTTCTAACGAAGAGTAAATTATTACTATTAGACATTTAGGAAAACCAAACTATTTGCAGCTCGCCCGTAACGTTGCCACATTATACGATAGAAAAATAATTGATATTAAATCACAAATCGAATGTAACTCGGATAGCGTTCCATACAATGTGTGTTAGCTGTGCGAGCAGCATCCACTGCTGCTGATCTCTGGCGAGCATCGCGTTCAGAGATCGCAGGGTTGCTATTTGGCCTTTTTGACGGCCAGATTTGAGGAATCTGGCCGTATAAAAAATTGCCTGGCCGTAACGTTTGAAAAGTCACGGCCAAACTATATTTGGCCGAATTTTTGAATTTACATTTTTTTTTCAATACAGGCCTAATATAACAAATTTGTTTTGGATGTGTTGTTTTTGTTAGCTTAAATTCTATATTTGATTCTAATCACAGTGGCGGATCCAGGGGGTTCAGGAGGTGGGGGTTCGTTCCCTCCCCCCACTTTGTGAAGAAACGTAACAAAACACTATGGGTCCTGGCTTACAAAATTCATGCTATCTAGACACGCGGATCCAGACCTTCGCCCACTTCGCCCAAGCGAAGGTCAGGGTGAGAATTAAAAAATAATATAAATAATAAAAATTTTTCCAACAATCATACTTACTTTCCTTGACACTTATTTTGAACATTACCATTAGAAAAATGTTTAAAAATCCACACTATCCTATACCTTACACTTTTAAACTGATTGTACTGTAGGCCCTACCAGAGAGAGAGAGGTATGGTACATTCCCAATACATTATGGTCTTCCACTTCTATAGCACATGATACAGTGCACAGCAAACGTTATGTAACCACTAATAGGCCTAATACTCAAGTCCAGTGGCGTAGGTATGGGCAGTGCAGTCAGTGCACAGCACTGGGGCCCGGGGCTATTGGGGGCTCATTCAATAGGTATAATGATCTAAAAATGTAACTTTAAAAAAATCCTATTCAAACTTTAAAAGGACCCTTCAATAATATTAGGTTTTAGAGGCTATAGTTATTGATTATATTCATTACAATTTACCTATTAGGCCTACCTATTTCCCAAACGCTGCAAGTAAAAAAAAAAAACAATACAAGCCCTT